ATATATTAAATAAGTTAATTATGTGTATGCACACACACACACACGCACACACATATAATATATATGAAAAAGTACCTAAGACCAATAAACATAATCATAAAGCTATGTTAGCTTCTGTTTTCTTTTCTTTCTTTCTTATAAACAAAACTTTCTGCAGGTTTACATAGGGAATGTTAAGGCTGCATTTTTTTTTTACGTTTTTATTGATTTCAGATAAGAAGGGAGAGTGAGAGAAAGCTAGAAACATCAATGATAAGAGAATAATTGATTGGCTGCCTCCTGCATGCCCCCTACTGGGGATTGAGCCCGCAACCAGGGCTTGCGATCTTCTTTCGTATAAACAAAACTTTCTGCAGGTTTACATAGAGAATGTTAAGGCTGCATTTTTTTTTACGTTTTTATTGATTTCAGATAAGAAGGGAGAGTGAGAGAAAGCTAGAAACATCAATGATAAGAGAATAATTGATTGGCTGCCTCCTGCATGCCCCCTACTGGGGATTGAGCCCGCAACCAGGGCTTGTGATCTTGACCGAAATCGAACCCAGGACTGTTCAGTTCGCAGGCCAACGTTCTATCCACTGAGCCAAACAGGCTAGGGCTAAGGCTGCATTTTTGTTAAAGGATATGACTTGGGTTTATTTTTCCTTCTGCAATTTGGAAGAAATATTTGAGCTACAGAAATTATTTTAGCTACAAAATTTTTGTTTTGAAGAATGATGCAAAAAATGCTGGTGGCACAAAGTACTGATGTTTTGGGAGCAGTTCATAGCTGTTTTATTTCATTTATCTCATTCTTCTCTGTACTGCAATCAGATGTTTCCATGCTTGTCTCCCACCTTACTGAAAAGCCCTCTAATACTGGGACATGAATATGGCATAATACTTTTAATTTTTAAAAATTTTCTGCAGAATCAAAAGCAATATAACACATTTGAGCAATACTGAGGGGGAAACTTGTTTAATTGAATGGACAATTAGTTACCTTAAAAGGAAAGCAAGTTAAAGAAACATTTTATTTTCCCATGCACCTGAAGCCAAAATTATTTTTTTTGTGTGCTGGCATATGCATGATTTTGGATCATTTATTAAATTTTCTGACTTGCCTATTTCTCATACAATAATAGAATTGCCTTCATGATGTCTCATCCTTTTCTCAGTGAGGTTTATGATAATTACTTATAGACTCACTCCTTTATTTACACAGTTATTAATTACCCAACTTTAAGAAGAGCCTATTTTATGCCAGCAATGCACAAATATATTGAGGTGTGTGTGTGTGTTTTAAATCATTTTTCTATTTTTGGTATTCATTTCTTTTTCACTGACATTATTTTATCCAATAAAATGTATTTTCATCCCTTATTGAGCTTATTAAGTTTTTGTGGCAAAAATTAGAGCCTGTCACCAGATATTTCCAGTTCTTCACTGCCTCCTCACAGTTAGGCATATACTAGTACAGTATAGCTTTGGTAATGGGTTGTGAGAAGTAGATGATTTGTCACATTTTCTCCCCTCTGACCATGTGATCATGGAGACCTGTGTTGATATGACCCTCAAAAACCTGGGCCACTGAGTCTCCACAATAAATAGAACCTCCTGTTGACCAGATAGTGTGAGCTAGAAATAAAATTTTGTTATATTAAGCCACTAATATTAGAGTATTGTTTGTTTCTGCTACATAATCTTGCCTATCCTAATCTATACAATCATTATAAATATAAGTTTTCTTTTTGAATGCAGTACTTGAAAAGTAAGCTAAGCTAAAAGAAAAATTTTGAGATAGGTGTTCAAGAATATTTTAGCTCCATATAATAAAATTTGGTGGAATATTTTAATTTAACATAATATTTAGGGCATATATAAATATAGTAGCCTATGTCCTAAAATTTAAATTATGTTGTGGTAATTTTTTATTTTTATTTAATCAAAAAGTGCTACCCCTAAAAGCCTATGTCTCTTTCCAAATCCCAACAAAATTGTGATCTACCTAATTCTGTGAATGGCATGTCTAATTTGTGGTACCAGGCCAAAGGAAAGAATGGTAGTTCTTTTAATTTTTTATTGTAGTAGGTCTATTTAGCAGTGTTTTCCAACATACTTAGGTAATTTGGATATTTATTAATCTAAAAACAAGAACAGAAAACTTATGAACAACATTATGTTGGGATATAAATAAAAGTTACCTCACAGTGAATTCTGTCAACTCTAACCTTTGGTTTATAGTATTTACTGATATTCATAACAATTCTAAATTAAAATTTTCACAGTAGTAATATGATCTAGAAACAACTGTCCTCTTGGTTTTTACACTGATTTAAAAAAATCACTTTAATATAATTATTGATAAACATGTCACCTGTAAAAATGTTGAAAATGAATAATAATAATAATAGTTGACTACTAATGGTTTAATGTGAGAATATTTGAGTTTTAATTTTTTAAAATGTCTTTGGAATAAAGGACAACTTTATCTGCATGTAAGAAGTAAATAATAAGAATATTTAAAGTGAATTTTAAGTTAGTGAATGTTGATGAACAAAGAGACATATATAAGGACTTAAACCATTTTTATTTAATTCCATACTGGATAATGCAAAGAACTCTCCTGTAATTGGGGTTTGCTTTATGTTGGGATTTGGAAATAATGAGTTTTTATGTTGAATTCCCTAAATAAGCTGACTTAATACATCTAAATAATACTTGTGATCTGGAATGTATTCATTTTATTACTATACATCATACTACTGAATAATACATTTTTAAAATGGCTAAAAACTTAAAAATCTAGAACATTCTAAAAGGGTATATATTTACTACATTTTATTCAACCTCTTAAAGCTGATGAAACTCATAAATTCCATTCTGTGATTGAGGAAGTTTATCTCCAGTATGGCCCATTGAAATAACTTTTTGCACAAAACAGTGAGTGGAAATGTATTAGTTATTGACTATTAAGAAAAGTATTAGAAAATATAAAGCCTACTATGGGAGTGTATTACAGTATCTGGGAAATTATGTGGTTAAAATGGTCAAAATGTTTCCATTCTTTATTTGCTTTATAAAGTTTACAATGAAATTTTCATATTTTAAGAGATTATTTCTCTACTCTGTCTGAGGTTTCATGATTTTTTTTTGTATCCTTTGAGCTTTTGATTACTTTTCTAGGATTTTTTTTTCTAAATAAATTTTATTAAAAATGTTTATCTCAGCCTCATATGTACTGAAAGGGCAACAATTTTAATACTGAAGAGGAGGGAAAATGTCTAACTAAATTACTGAAGTAGATAAAGTGAATTTTGCTATTCTTAATATGTTATGGAATACATAAGGATATTCAAAGATAGTCATAATATATTTCTAAGTGAAAAATTGTTAAAAAATAGTATGTACCACTCTGACCCCATTGTGAACACATTACATGCTAGGTATTTTTGAAAAACAAAACAAAACATACAGACAAATACAAAAGACTGGATGCATAGATAAATAAGAGATAAGATTAAAGGTCTTTTTAATTTAATTTTTGCTTATTTGAATTTTCTTTTTTCAGAATTTAAAAATATTTTTCTGCTTTATTGAGATATAATAGACATATATTATTATGTAAGTTGAAGGTGTACAGTGTTAATGATCCGATATATATATATGGTTACCACATGAATGTTAATTCTTCCATCACCTCACATAATTAGTATTTCTTTTTTGTGGTGAGAACTTTTAAGATCTATTCTCTTACCAACTTTCAAATATATAATACAGTATTGTTTACTATTGTCACTAAGGTGTACTAGATTTTCTTAATTTTGTAAAATGAATGTGTTGTTTTTTATTGGTAAAAAGAAATATATTATAATTTTGTGACTTGTTAGTGAACTTTATTATAAAAACGTTATTTCAACAGACTATTTCACAACTTCATTATAGTAATGGTTTGAACATTTTAATAAAGTTTTCACATAAACCTTGACTAATGGCTTTGAAAATATGAAGGGAATGAGGTTTCCCCACTTTTTTATTTTATTTTTAAAAATTTTATTTTTTTATTTTCATCATTAACTTTTTATTGTTTCCCTCTTTTTAAATTTAGCTATTTCAAAATTAACATATTGAAGGGAGTTAGCTACAGACATTTTCCACAGCAATTACAAAAAATCAGCCCATTTGCTCTCTGGACCAAGTGATGTTTTTATTGAGAGAAGTATAATGCTCGAGATAATTTCTATATAGGGCACTGAAATCAGCATTAAAGGGCTTTGAATTACAGCTGATGAGTGTGCAAGGCTGAAAAGCAACATTCATTTTTTAAAAAGTTCTAAAAGCCTAAATTTTTAAGATAAGAGCTGCATTAACAGAGATTCATATATTTCTTCTTTTAACACTTAGACACATAAAAAAAGAAAAGACAGTGGCCACCCATATTACTCTTTTTATACTTTAGCAGAATTCGAGGAAATAATTACTAGTGAAATTAAAAAATCCACTTTTGAAAATGTTTTTTTCTTAGCCATACTGAAACATGAACAGTTATTTATATTGTGTACTTATTATGACTATAGGCAAAATAACAATCTAGCACATTTTATTCTGGTCATTGTTTTATGTTAAATACAATGGCAAAGGTCAGAGAATAAACACATTTTGTTAGTAATTCAAATTGATCACGTTATTTGTAATTTATTTAGTAGCGGTGTAAAATTAGACATGCGTATACTTTCTCTTCTGGCTAATTGTTTATCCATGTCCAGATGAACTGAACTGTATTTCTAGTAAATATCTTAAGCCTGAAGGGCAGAGCATGGGAAAGTTATTGTGAAAAACACTCTTGATAGATTCTTGAAACATCCAATCTTGTCAACTCACATGCTTCTTTACAGTGTTCGGGTCACTAATGCTGTTTTTGCTAAGAATAAACGAATGCATTTAGTTTATTTAGTTGCTTGTCTTATTTTCAAAAGCCTTGTTATTAATTGTCTTCCCTTTTTTTCTTCTACTATAGGTCATGAAATATTTGGCTTATAAAATCATTCCCATTGGGAAAGAATTGCAGAAGCGTCAGTCATTCTCCTTTTAAGATAATTTTGATTAAAAGGTAAATTCAGGCCTCTGGGCATCACACAGGTTATTGTTGCACAATGAAATTGTTGTTCATATCAAAATTACTGACTTACCCATTTTGTTTGTTTTTAAGGCAAATGCTGTTATTAAAAATAAGTCTTCTGGAATTATATAAATATAGAATAGTTTATTTTTTATTTTTTAGAGTAGCTTATTTTTAACTCATTTTATTTATACCTTAAAATAATTGTCTAAAATAGTTTGAAGTAGGACTTCTGAATTCATTATTGTTTTAAATATTTTGGATTAAGAATTCTGAATACTATGTCTCCTGTGAAAAGAGGGAGTGGAAGGCAGAACATTTATATTAGAGTGCTTTCCATGCTAATCAGCCAGAATGGAGCACAATAAACTATTTCAAATATCCTTCCACTAGTAATGATAGGATATCTTTAGATAAATTTACAGAATTTATTTTATTTTACTAATTGATTGGTATATTCATCATCCACAGATATATTAGTGGAAGCTGGATTCTAAATGACTTTCCTATGATAAGCTTTCCAATTAATTCTTCTCACATTGTTTTCCTGGTGACATCTGAACTTCTTTCATTATATAAAACACATCTGGAATGAAGCATTGCAGAATAATAATCATGGATGCTAACATGTTAAAGATTGAACCCCTGACATAGTCAAATGTGTTCTGGTTTAAAACAATGACTTCAATTAATGCTGTTTTAAGTGAGCCACATTTAGAAGGAATATATAGGCATGTCTGTTTAGCCTGCCTGTCTTGTGTTGGAATTGGTCAAAAAAGAAAAAAAAAAAGAAGAAATCAAATTGCAAATGGTGTCTTCCTTGTTTAATAAAGATGACTGCATTTAGTCAGATTTTTCCTCCTATCTGCAAATATTTTTTCCTTTTGCTTGAATAAAATAAAAAATATTGTGATCAGTAAATATTAAAAGAGGATTATCTAAAACATCTTTAAAACCATCTATTACTTATAATTTACATTTGTATCATAGGGTTACTGAATTGTTTCTGCGATGCCTTTCTTAAGAGAAGATGCTGCTCAGATCCCGTTTAAGTGGCTCGCTAATACAAGAAGCAGATCATTTAAAATGAACCTTACATCTTTATAGGATGTTAGAAATGAAGACATTACCTCAAAATGTAGGTAATTATTGCCTCCTCTTTTATCAGTGCTATTTTCTGAGATATTATCATAAGAGAGCACTTTAGTATTAAGCAGGGCTTTTGAGTGGCAATAAATCAGTCCAACTGAGTCATCATTGTCTAAGGCATCTGAACTACTGCAATGTTGTGGATCCTACCGAGAGTGTGAAATCACTTGACCCTTGGCATTAACCTTTGCTGAATGAATAGACACTGCTTTCCACATCGAGGAACAAAGCAGAAGACTATTGATTAAACACCACATTCACTTGATATTAAATACTGGCAGAACTCACTTCTTGCTTCTAGTTCCAGAGGGAAAAACACAGAGTTGCTGAGTCTCACGAGAATGGATGTTTGTAATTCAGAGCAATGTTTTTTTCGCAAAGTACTTTTTTTTCTCTCCTTCGATCAATAACTAGCAGCCATGATCAGCCATGAGTATGTATTGTCAATTCTGACCTGTGTATTTTATCACTTAAGGTGAGAGGTCACAGTGCTGCGACTAATATTTTAGTTCTAAGCATGAATTGTTTCCTGACTTGAATATCTGTTTGAAAAAGCAATTTGTTTTATTTCTTGTTTAGGAATAATGGTTTTGGCAATTGATTTTTCTGTATTAGTAAAATATGTGATTTTTCTTAACTTCTTTGGTTTAATAACTGCTTTTACAGATGTTGACTTTATTAGAAGAAATTATATTAAAAGGACATTTTAGGATATATGACATATTTTGGGGGAAAGAAAAACATCATAGTTAAACGTACCACGTTAGAAGAGAGCAAGAGCTTTGGAAGAGACTGTAGCAATACATTTGAGCATAAAGAGAACAATAAAATATTTACAAGAAGTCTGATCCATTGCCTGTGTCTACACTATTGACAACAGTTTGACAGCTATTTTTGGTAAATCTACTTTATCCAGAAGGAAAACATGCATTATTGACAGAGAAATCAATTTAATTCTTGGAACTAGAGTTAAACTTAAAATTTTAGCCTTAAATGAAAGAATCATTTTTCTTTTAAATTTAAGTATTTTCTGTGTGCTTATATAATGAAAATTACTTTATTTTAGGAGGGAACATAAATAACTACAAGGTTCTTTTTGTCTACCCAAGGTTTCATATTATTTTGGACCCAGGATATCATACCAGTCAAATCTTATAAATAATTGTTTTCATTACTAGAGGTTTTGACTGGCTTGTATTCAACACCAAGAATTCCAGATAAGCCAGTTGTGACTCTGTCATGGTTGAGCAAGGATCATTCGTTGCCTGAATGATAGAAAATATTTCCGCTAAGTACATAATGGTGTAATTTAATACATACACAGTCTCACACAGTTTGCACAATTTTTGAAAAGGAGTATTGGAAGTCTGAGGGAAGTTGATAAAGTGAATCATGCTGCTAAACTTAATGGTCAATCCTTTTGATTTGATGTTCTCTTTCTCTAGAATATGTAGCTCCTGAAATATTTATTTGAAAGCTACTGAAGCTTGGAATACTATGAAAAACATTCTGTTTAAACACTATTTTGGTTATGTGTCATATATTCCCTTTTCTTCATTGCTAAGGACATTTGTGAAGAAGCCATTTTTATTTCATTATTATTTTGAACACAGATATATGTACAACAAGAACCTTGGAAGTTACTTTGGCACTTGGGAGTACCCATGGACAATTTATTTGGCTGATATAAATACTACCAGCTTGTTTTGTGCATGCCAAATAGGATAAAGTTAATTGTCTGCAAATACTAATATTTACAAAACATTTAATTAGAATTCGTTGCTTTATGGTACCAAATAAATGTTTTTTATTCTGTGGTACATGTTAGTGAATGAGATATATTTTGTAATATTTCATATAATCATACTGGGTAGAGAAGTGGCTGTGTCCAGGTCACAAGGTCACAGGTGCTGTGATTACAGTCATGCAGCACATACCCCAGACTCTTTTATAATCTCTTTGGTGAATGAGATTAGTGATATACAGTAAATTGTAATTATCATTTTATTGGAACAGAAATATTGGAACTCCATATTCATAATGGGGAGATGGAGGAAGAGTAAAAGGAAGAGGAAGGTGAAGAGGAAGAATAGTAAGAAAGAGGAAAGCACTCATACCTCATTCCTACAGATGTGTCAAAAGACAAGTAAGAACCTCACTTGAGACTTATGCAAAAATAGTGTTTATGCTAACAGGGATGAAAAGTTTGTAAGTTTTTTTTAATGCTCAAAAAAGTAAGTAGGCTTTCATTCACATTTCTGTTCAATTAAATCCCCATCCCTGTTTTTAGAGATTATCCAGCTATAGTATAGAACACACTCAGCTAAAGTTAAGAGTGAATTTTTCTACTGTTTGGAGGAGTGGTCTGGGATGGTCTGGGATATTAAAAGCTCCCAAAGTATTCTACACAATAGATTATTCAAAATTGATCTCTTCTGAGGAATGCTTTGCCATGGTTCCTAGTTATCTCATTAGTCATAGAAACATATTTTAAAAAGTTCTGTGTAACAGTTCATAACTAAGAAAAGGACAGTCCTCAAGGTTTCCATAGCCTGACCATCACAATAGTCTCTAGCCTCCTGTAGGAATCTTTTTAATGAGAGTCT